CACGTCAGGGGCTGTATATCTCTATTTAGCTTAAGTGATCCCTAATTTGGTTCACTCTGACAGACTTTGCCAGTAGAGTTAGGTAATCTGGGAGGCAGGTTGGAGTAGTAAAACTAAGAAAGGCATTGAAGAATTACAATGAGAAAGAAGGCCCTACCTGCTATGAAAATTCTAGCTATTTTTTATGCATACATACACACATACAGACATATACTGCCTGTGAAAAATCATGGCATGGATAGTTTTAAGGAGGGTCTGCTCAGCACGGTCTTAGCTATGTGTCCAATGCTCTAGATTTTGTAGAAATCTCTCAAATATATCAAATTTGTGGCAGGGTTTGTTGGGGTTTTTTAACTCTAATCACCTTTTTCCCTACATGGTAGTAGTTAAAGATGAAGTCAGTCTTATTTTACCTCTAAATGGGTTGGTATCTGCTGACTAAGTCCCTTTCATTTTCAGACTTTATCGATCAAATCGATCTATTCACTAACTGTTGAAGAGCTAACATTGCATAGCTGCTGAGGCAAACTCATTTTTGACAATGGTGCATTTAAAGTCAATGAACACAGTCCACACAGACTAAACCTAACCCACAGCTTCTTTCCAACAACATTTGCATCACGTCACACTTAGAATGATTCAAGTTTGACATTTTAGCTGTTAAAGGAGCCATGAAAGTGCATCTCAGGCAACCATTTTTCTTACAGATTTTAAAATAAAGAAGAAATATTCCCTGTTGCCTGCCAAGCTACCTTTGGGGAAAAAGGAAAAACATTTTATGCCATTTCCCCTCATCTAAAAGAGCTGACCTATGTTTAAAAAGTTTATTGTAAGATTTTTTTATTGTGAGGGTGGTGAGGCACTGTAACAAGTTGCCCTGACAAGTTGCCCCATCCTTGGAAGTGTTTAAGGCCAGGCTGGATGGAGCTCCGAGCAATCTGGTGTCATGGAAGATGCCCCTGTCTGGGGAGAGGGGGGGTTGCTGTTGGAACTAAGTCATCTTAAAAATCCCTTCCAGCCCCAGTCATTCTATGATTTTGTGATACCATGATTTTGTGATTCATATTTGACATGTATAGTGCCATTTTTAAATAAATGCAGAATACTCAAGAGGGCACAAAAGGGGCAACAAGCACCAGAACTGTTTATTCAAATACAACTTAACATATCTAAAAATTGTGTCTTCCAGTCCCATGCCTTATAGGCAGTTCCAAATAAGGTATCATCTGTAGCATGCAAATAGACTACATTAATGTCAAAGGAAAACAAAAGGAAATTTATGTGATTAGCTAATATTTTGAAGAAGTACACTCTATTTAGCAATGTTTTGAGCACAGTCATACTCAAATGTCCTGAGAAGATGGGCTCTTGTAGGACAAATCATTAACTTTTGCAAAATTGGTTCTGGTGATAGGGGTTTGAATTTTGTGCCCAGATGGGCAAAACTATTGTCACCAGTGCAATGATGGATGTCATAAAGATGGCTTTAAACTAAGAATGGCAGTGAGGGAGATAGTGAGTAAGCAGTAATCCCATGAGGGAGCAACCAATATCTGGCTTAGCAATGTTCACAGGATGATGTGACAGCAAAGTATCAAAAAACTAACAAAACTAAGGTTTTTTGAATGTAGCCAAGTCCCTATAAGGCACCAATATGGAAAAATATCCCAGAATTTCTCCAGACATTTAACATGCTGGGATGCCTCTTTGAAACATCAATATACTAATGCATATGGTATAGGGAACAAACATGACAAATAAAGACTGTGTATTTGCAGAGCTACAGTCTTACAGAGATCGTGGGATGTTTCCCATCACTGGAGTCTTGAAATGCAGTGATATAGGCTTTTAAAGAAGGAAGGGTGGGAAGAAAAGGAGGAGTTGCCTTTTATGTGACAGACCAATTATAGAGCATGGGGCTCTGCCTAGGGATGAATGAGTAACCAAATGAGAGCTTCTGTGTATTAAAGTATTAGTATTAGAGACAGTGCAGGCAGAAGTGAAATTATAGTGGGTGTATACCGTAGGTATACACCAGGAAGAGAATCAGGCCTTCTGCAGGCAGTAGTAGTCCAGGACCTAGTTCTCCCAAGGATTTCAAACGCTGCCACACTGCTGGAGGACAACACAGCAGGATGAAATCAGTCTAAAAGATTCCCGAAGAACATTCATGACCACTTCCTGCTCCAAGTGGTATAAGAGTTGATGAGGAGAGGTGCTTCATTGCACTTCATATTCATCAATGAGGACAAGTTCATTGGGGGTGTGAAGGTAAAGGCAGCCTTGACTATGGGGACCATGAGACAGCAGAGTTTAGGATCCCAAAGGCAGGGAAAAGAGTGGAAAGCAAGACTACAGCCCTGTACTACAGAAGAAAAGATTTTGACCTCTTTGAAAATCTGCTTGGAAAATGTCCCTGGGATAAGACCATGCAGTTAAGACAATCCCAAGAAAGCAGCTTAATATTCAAAGCTCACCTTCTCTAAGCTCAAGAGCAGTCCATTCCAGCTAGGAATGAATGAAGTCTGGCAAAAATGCCAGGATGCCTACACAAATGAACCAACCATGCCCTGGTCAAAATCAGACACAAAAAGGAAGCATGCAGATGGTGGAAGGAAGAAAAAGTAACCTGGGAGAAATAGAGATGAAGTTAGGAAAGCTCAAGCCCAAACGAAATTGAATTTGTTAGGATGTCAAGGACAAAAAGAAGGGTTTATGTAAGTATACAGGAAACAAAAGGAAGTTTAGGAAGATGTCGGGTCAGTTCTCTGTAGGTGACCTGGTAACACAGTACATGGAAAAAGGCTGAGGTACTCAATACCTTCTTCATGTTAGTCATCACTAGCAAAAACAGTTTTCAGGAATCCCAGGACCTAGAAACCTGGGGGTTAATTTGGATGAAGGAAGACTTGTGCCTGGTGCAGTAGGATCAGGTTAGGAAATACTTAAGAAGACTGGACAAGCCCATTGGATTGGGTGGCGGTACTTGTAACTAGGGAAGCTGACTGATGCTGCTTTGAGATAACTCTCGATAATCTTTCAACTTGACAATCAGTCATGCCAACTGGGAGGGATGCTTGAAAACTTGAGAAAAGCAAAGGTCACTCCTGTCACTGCTGGACATGAAGTAGAAGTATGGATTCAATCACAGCAGCCAGAACGAGACGCTCAGGAAAGCTTTATTCCCCGAACTTTCCAGCTTTTTATCGGGCATCATGATACAAGTTTAACATAATTGATAAAGGCAACACCACCTTTCTGTCCCATTGATGGGACAAGAGAAAACACACTAACCACAGCTGTACAGAACTGTTTTGAGAAAATGAAATTACTTACAGAGATAGTCCTTGAGCAAGAGATGCTCTCAAGAGACTTTCCCTCAGGAACAGATCAGCCACTGACAGGCTGGAACTCTCAGACTCAGAACTCTCTCTCACACACTCCTGTCTTCAGGAACAGCAAGGAAGATCCAGGGAAACACAAGCTAGTCAGCCTCACCTTAACCCATGGGAAAGTTATGAAACAGCTAACCCTGGAAACCATTTCCAGGCACATGAATGAGAAGGTGTTAATCAGTAATAGTTAGAATATATTTATAAAGGAGATTTCATTTTTGATCAGCTATCTCAAGGAAAAGTATAAAGTTCTACTATGAAATGACAGCTGGGTGGGTGAAAGGAGTAATGTAGACAGTAGACTTTGTCTACATTAACCCATTTATATGTGTAAATGCCTGAAGGGATGGTGCAAAGAATACAAAGCTGTCCAGCGACAGGACAAATGGCACAGACCAAAATATTGATGATTCCTCCTGAATATCGGGAGCACACTTTTACTGTGATAGTAACTGTGCACTAGCAGAGGTTTTCCAGGGAGGTTTTGGAGTCTCTGATGCTGGAGATACTCAAAAGCCCTCTTGACATTATCATGGAAAACCTGTGCTATACAGTTCTGCTTGAGCAGGGGTTTGGTCCACATGACCTCCAAAGGTCTCTTTCAACCTCAGTAATCCTGTAATTGTGTCATAATTTTTTATGTTTAAATTATTGCCTTGGTAGTCAAAGGGAGGGAACCACATATTTCCTACTTCGACTTCAGTACCTCAGTCTCTCATAAAATCCTCACAGAGGAGCAGTGAAATATCAGCTGAATGAGGAGATAGAGGTGGATAGAAAACTGGCTGAACAACTGTGTCCAAAGGTTGGTGATCAGTGGCATGAAGTCTTAATGGAAACCAGTAACTACTAGTTAAGTAGTTAGTACTAGTGGGTCAGTATTGCTTCCAGTTCTGTTTCACATCTTCAATAAATGTCTGGATGATGGGACAGAAGGTACCCTCAGCAAGTTTGCCAATGACACAAAACTGAGGAGTAGATGATATGCCAGAATACTTACCATCCTGAAGGACCTCATCAGACTGGACAAATGGACTGAAAGAAAACTCTTTTAAGTCTAAAAAAGTGCAAAGTCCTGCCATGAGGGAGGAGCAACCCCCTGCAGTGTATGGTGGCAGACAATTGCAGACAGCAAGTTGAAGAGTCAATTTGCCCATGCAGCAAAGAACACCAGGATGTGCTGGGCTAGGTTGCATAATTCTTGCCAACAGGTCAAGGGAAACAATCCTTCCCCTCTCCTGATCCCTGGTGAGGCCACTGCTGGAGTATTGTGTTCAATTTAGAGCTCAGTACTACAAGAGAGATACGGAGCTTCTACAGAGTACAACAAAGGGCCATGAAGATGATGAAGAGACTGGAGCATCACCCATAGGAAGAAAGACTGGTAAAGCAGGGACTGTCCAGCCTGGAGAACACTCATTAGGGTTTCCAAATAGCTGAAGGGAAGGTGTAAAGAAGACAGAGACAGGCTCTTTCCAGTGGCACATTGACAGGATTCAAGGAAAAGGACACAAACTGAAATACAGCTGGTACTTCCTCAACACAGTAAGAAATTCTTTAACTGTGAGGTCAGCTGAGCACAGTAACGGGTTGTCTAGAGAACTGGTGGACAGTTCATCCATGGAGACCTTCGAAAGCCATCCGGGTAAGGTATTGGCAAAGCTGTATAGAGCAATGAGATCAACCCCAAGCCTCCTTCTCTCCAGACCAGACAAACCCAGAGCCCTCAGCCGCTCCTCACAGGATGTGCCTTCCAGCCCTTCCACCAGCTCTGTTGTCCTCCTCTGGACCACTCAGGGCCCTTCCCACCCTCCTCAGGCTGTGGGGCCCAGCACTGCACACAGGACTCAGGGTGAGGCCGCAGCAGGGCTGAATCCAGCAGGATGATCCCAGTCACAGCTGGTGATGCTGTGTCTGATGCAGCCCGGGATGGGGTTTGCCCTCCTGGCTGCCCGGGCACACACTGCTGATTCACCCTGAGCTGCTGCAGACCAGCACCCCCAGATCCCTTTCTGCAGGGCTGCTCTACACACACTCCTCTCCCAGCCGATGCTTGTGCCCAGTTTTACTGCATCCCAGGGGCAGAATCTGCATTTGTTCTCATTAAAATTTCATGCCACTGATGATTTCCCAAGGTTGCAATGTATCCAGATCCCTGTGCAAGGCTCTTGTGCCTCAAGAGAGACAACAGTATGTCTCAGTTTGGTATCATCAGCAAACTTGATAATATGTATTCAACTTCTTCATCCAGGTAATTTATGAAATTATTGAATCTGGCCCAAGAATTTAACATTGAGGAATGTGGCTATTGACTTCTCACCAGTTTTAGCCCCATGCACTATAACCCCTGAAGCCCTGCTGTTCAACCAGTTCTTCACAAGGTACACTCTGTACCTGTTCATCTCACAACTATATAACTTGTCCAGAAGAATACTGTGAGGGACAGTATCAAAAGCCTTCCTGAACTCCAGAAAAACTATATCATCACCTCTCCTTCATCCACTGTGTAGGGGACCTTATCATAGAAGGGCGGAGAATTAATTAAAGAGGACTTTTTTGAACCTGTGCTGACTAAGCCTGATGACCGCACTAATCTCTAAATGCATTTCAGTAGTACTCAGAATGACCTTCCCCATAAAATTTCCACATACTGAGGTTAAACTAACAGGTCTGTAGTCTCCTGGGACTTTCTTCAAACCCTTATAAATTGCAGTTATATCAGCTTGCTTCCAGTCAGTGGGGACCTTCCCAGAACCCCAAGATCTTTGAAAGATGTTTCTGGTTTAACATCTACAAACTCCTTCAGTACTCTCAGATTAATCCTACCAGATCCCACAGACTTTTGAAGATTCAACTGATCTGACTTATTCCTTACAATTTCAGTATTCACAGATGGAATGTCACTGCTCACAAAGTCCACTGACTCAGAGGAATTAGCAGTCCAAGGTCTAATTTTAATATAAAAGACTGAAGGAAGAAAAAAAGCATTTAATGTCTTCATTTTTCCTTCATCCTCACTTGCTAGATGACCACCTTCAACAAGCATTGGTCCAGTATTTTCCTTAGTCAACTGTCACTATTGACCTACTTGAAGCCTTTCATGTTGTCTGAAATTGCACTGGCCAGTTTCAACTCTAGCTGAACTCTGTTCTTTCACGTTTGCTCCTTGCATGGAGGAGCTATCACTCTGTCCTGCGAAACTGACCTCACTTCCAGAGATCATACCATGTTTTTTTTCCTTCATGAGGAGTTTCCTGTTCAGCCAAGCCAATCTTCTTCCCCATTTACACAGTGGGATTTCTTGCTCCTGTGTTTTTAAGAAGTGGTTCTTAAAGACTGACTCATGGTCTCTAAAACCCTCAAAAGCAGATTTTTAAGAAGTGGTTCTTAAAGACTGACTCATGGTCTCTAAAACCCTCAAAAGCAGATTCCTGGAGGACACTGTTAACTAGCTCCCTGAGTAACATAAAGTTTTATCTCTTGGAATGCTGGCTAGGAACTCTACTGAACTTTTTTATTATTACACCAAAAATTCTAAACTCAGGTATTTTGTGAGCAATGTGGCCAAGACAGCTGTTTAACCTTACATATGCCAAGAGTGCTTTTCTATTCACAAATAAGGAGTCTAGGAGAGCTTCTTTCCTAGCCAGCTCACAGAGTAGTTGTGACAAGAAATTACCTTCAATATACCTCAGAAATTTTCCAGACTTGTTTTTCACAGCGCTATGCTATTCTGTTGATGTCTGAAATGTTAAGAAACCTCAAAAAATACTGCTCTCAAAAGCAGCATTTGCTGCTTCTCAGCTTCAGTGACAGGTTCCTGTGCATTGGTACATGTGGAGTCAAAATGCAAATTATCCCAGCTTCAGTCACACCAATGAAACTCTGCCTGTTTAGAATAGGCATGGAGCTGGTCCATTCCATTAAATAATAAATAAATAATGAAAACTAAATAGCAAACTGAAAGTCTTTGCAAGGAAATTCCCAGCTCAAAGCAGATTTTTTTTTTTTTTGCTATGGGAGTTATAAACCCTTGAAAGTAGCAGGTTTATAATGGAAATGCTGACACGACTTTAACTATAGCATTGCAAATGGCGATGCTATAATTAAGCTTCGATCTTCTTTGGAAAAAAGGAAGAGGGAGGTTATTGTTCAATGGACTGCTCTGTCATTTGCTGCAGCGATTCTTAATTGTGTCTCATTACTGCAAGATGATCATTACTCTACTTGTCTATCTGATTTAGAGACCACTAAAAGTGTCTTGTAACAAGCAGCCGTCTCCTATGCAACAGTCCTTTGGCTCTCACCCTCATTACTCAGAATCTGTCCAATTATTTGTCATTAAAGTAATAAAAAGGACTGCAGCAGAAAATGTGGGAGGTAATTGTTGGAGGCCTGCCGAGGAAAAAAATGAAAACTGTTTTCAAGGCACTGGGAAAGTGACATCGTTAATTAAGTGTTAGAGAATATGCAAATCAGTCACAATCTCAAGAGACTGTAATAAAATAGAGAAAACATTATTATCATTTGAGGTAAAAGAAGGCAGAGTTTCCCAGTCAGTGTTCAGTTTAGTTACTTCCTAAGAATGGCAGTGGCAATAGGGTGCAAGCTCCAAATAAAATGAGCAGACGGGTATATTTCAGCATAAGCTGCTCTTCTAACATTCTCCAGCTCAGAGACAGAAAAGAAGGCAGTCACAGTATAGGACCCCAAAAAAATGCTGTTTATTTGATGGCTACCTCAAAAGCAAGTGTATATATCACACGCTATAACTCCTTCACAAAATGTCAGAAAAAAAATGTACAAGTGACTTTCTTGTTTGTTTATATCACCGAATTTGTTGTAATTTATACTTCACCTTCAAGGGTTCATTTATTCAAGCAGAAAGAGAGAGAAAGGCAGAGAAGGAGAGGGAGAGACAAAAACAGCAAGGAAGAGTGATACAAGAACTCTTGTGCAACTAATTTAAAAAAAATTGGGGGAGTCTTTTCAAGTAATTAGTTACACAAGTGAAAAAAATGATATAGCAGTCCTTGTTCACACAGTTGTAGGAGGAAGATTATTGAAAGCAGCTGTAATTTGGGCACATTGTGAGCAAATGCAAAGGTGTGGCACATCACTGCAAAACAACCAAGTCCCAAAGAAACAATCTTCCTTCATGCTGAACTTTAGATAGGAAAAGGGATACCAAAATTTATGAGGAAAACAGTTCAGCTGTGAATTAATAGATTTATAGAATATAGTTAGTAGATTTAACTGAACATATCTGGGCTATAAAATGTTGTTTTCCAGAGCAGAAATTCAGGCACAAGGAGGAAGAGCCTGGACTGAAAAAGCCTCTCTGAGGCATCATGATAGGGGTCTTGTTTTGTCTTGGAAGACAAAGGCACCTTTCAAAGTAGCATAGATTTGTGCAATATATCTTGTGTAAGGACCATCAGGGAGCTGTTTGGTTCATGGTTACTCCATATTCAAGAATTTGCTGAGGTTTCGTGGGTCAGCTGAGAACAATCTCATGAGTAAAGCTTCCCTGTTCCTTGCATGTTTCTCTACTTTTTGGCCTCCTGAAACAAGTCCTGCTTAACATGCAGTTTTGAGTCTCACAAGAAAGAATCACTTCTTTGTAAAGTTGTATGTATGGAAGCAAGACAATAGAAAAATTGTACCATGCCTGACTTGGCACAAGCAAAATGTTGGACTCTTAGCTTTAGAAAAAAAAAATAAAAGCATCTTTAGATTTGCATAGACCAGCTATCTTTTTTTTTACCCACTCAGATTTAACCCAGGATGACCAGACAGAAAACACAGGGTAACTTGAAGTCAATGAAACTTGACCACTGTGTACAGAATCAGGTTGTACCAAAATTTAGTCTTCTTTAACTGGATAGAAAAGTAAATTATCCAGGGAGTGGAGTGGGAATATAAAATAATTGTAGAAACACATTTGGCCTCAGCAATCTGCACCTGAGCATCTAAGACATTATCAGAGGTATTGTGAAAATGCATTGCACAACTTGTTTGAAGGTTAGGAATTTAAGGAAAAGCATACTTGAACAGATATTTACTCTCTAAACTGTGAAGTCTGGAAAGCAAAATAGAATGTATAAACATGGTATATAAATTTAAATTGTCATTGTGGCCAGGTCTACAGATAATTACAACTGAAATACTTTGTCCTAGGACAGAGAGGAAATTTCCATCCTACAATCATGTAGAATGGTGGCTGCAAAATGCACAGAAGAATAACTCTCTGATACAAGGATAGTTTCACAAAACAGCAGCGGGTTGATATGTTTTCCCCTAATAGCACAGAAAAGGGTTTTTTGGGGGGTTTTTTGTTTGTTTTTTTTGAGGGTTTTGTTTTTTGTTCTGCAGAGGTTTCTGGAACACACTTTGTTAGTCTTCTTAAAAATTGCAAAACTCTAATATATGTGGTTAGAATGTAAGTTCAATCAGCTAGTGTAATCCTATATACCCAGTAGATTCATTTTTTAAATGGTACACTATGAACAAGAACCCACTGCATACAATTAGTATTTTCAGAGTCCCACATCTCAGTCTAATCATAACCAGATTTTTTGAGTGACAGAATTCACTGTATTTTAGTTTATCCCTTTTACATCCCACACACCACTTTCGAAGTCTCAAATATTTTAGAGGTGTTGAAGTAAAGACTGAAAACATAACTCAGAAACAGAGGAAGTGTTTTATCTGTCTGTTCCTGTGCTAACACATACTAAAATATTTTCCTGTCCTTATTGCACTCTCAAAGATTCACCAGGAGAGCTATGCTGGAATACAGATGAGTTAAAGAAAATGGCAAAATTGGAAATCTTTCAAAAATAGGAATAGAAGAATTCTTTCTCTATCTTAATTACTAAAACATAAGAATGTGTATCATTTTTGGAATTACTTGTAAGGAATTTTTTTATAGCCCATTTTAGCTTCTCCTAGAAGCACTGCACATTTTCTGCATTTTCCCAGCTTTCAAACAGCTATAGATTGTGAAATGAAAAACTAAAACTTAAATCCAGTTGTGAATTTGCACTGTAGTAAGTTTCACTTGATGTTTAAAACATGCTAAATATCCTTTTCAGGGTAATCCAAAGTACAGGAGGTAGTTCATTTGGCTTGCCAATTCTCATGGTGCAGGTTAGGATCTTCAGTGTGAGTGTAGGCCACCTCAATTTAACACCTGTCTTTCACTTACCATTTTTATACTTCTAATACTTTTCCTTTCTTACATTTGCCTTCATTATATCCTTTTTATTATTATTGTTTAGACACAGAGTAAACAATGCATATTATAGCATAGTTCTCCATCCTCATTCTATTTTCCTATGATGATTTTTTTCAACATTAGGTGGACAGTACATCACTACTGCAGCAAATGTCATTAGCAGATAGATCATTTTTTCCAGTGCTTGAAACCTCTGAGAAGAGGGAATTTTATCAGGTTTGTGTGTTCTAACAGTCTAAAAATAAGATTCTAGTCAGCCTCAGTTTGAAGCTTTTCATTAGATCTAAATCCCAGGCATCTTTCTGAAAATTAAATGAAGGAAATTGGAATAAGGGACAACCACTTCTTGTCTTCAACAAGTTGAACTCCAAAGTTTGTTTATTCACTCTTCTAGTTATATAATTTAAACTGGACTAAGTTGAGTAAGAGGTTCATTTACTCTTTGTTAGGATACTTTTGATAAGGTTAAAAAAAATTAAAAGAATGTAAACAGGTTTCTATTCATCTAACACATTTTTCACTACCTGTTGCCATTTTGGTTTTTCAAATTAAGTATATAATTAGTTTGACTATATTCTTTCCTTAGAGATTGACAGGAAAATCTATGGCTTGTGAAGGTGGAAAACAAAGAAATCAATAGGTGTCTGTGTTAGTGGGAACCTGAGGGGATTTGTAAGTGTGGCAGCAAGAGCTGACGATTTTTCTAAGGTGATATTCTACACTATGTCAGAGATTATATCTTGATTCTTATTGCAGAATCAGTAAAAAAAAAAAATACTACAAACTCTGCTTTCTTATGGCAGAGAGAATACACTTGGAATCTACTCAACCATTTCCCACGAGTGAATTTTTATTCATATTTTTCTGTCCTAACAAATACTCCCCATACATCACAGAGGCACAAGGACACTTGCAAATAGAGTTTACCTATACAATAGTCTGGAAATCTTAAAGCTATGAAGGGTTTGGGGAAGAAAACAAAGGAAATCTTTGGTAATAAAAAGTTCTTTCAAACTACTTAATTTTTAGTCTCTGCATGCATCACTTCTGAAAAAAGTTGGCTTTTGAGTTTATTTTGTTGGTTGGTTGGTTGGTTGGTTGGCTGGTTGGTTGGTTGGTTGGTTGGTTGGTTGATTGGTTGGTTGGTTGATTGGTTGTTTGGTTGGTTGGTGATTTTTTTGTTTGGGTTTGTTCTAGGGTAGGGTCATAAGTACAGAAGAACTTGTTATGCATACAAACCTTTAAGATGAAAATATTACCTTCCAGTTGAGTGTAAGTTTTTTAGAACAATCACACTTTCCTACCATTTAGGAGCCTATAACCAGCAAACAGTTCTAAGTTTATAGCAGAGATTCAATAATCTGCTTCTATAGGAAAATACAATTAATTAATGATAGGGTAACCTTACTTCAAATACAATTTTATAAATCTTCTGCCTATTTATATCAGAAAGAAGCTCAGCTTTGCGATCTAAACATGTTCAGAGCCAAACATAATCTGGGCAAACCTTCTGTTCCAGTTATTTGCTGGACCCAAGTATCATGAAATGTATTCTTTACGTTATAGCTTCAAAGTGCTGCCCAGGCAGTAATCTGCATTATTGTTTAGTCACAGTTTCATCAAATAATTTTAAGAAAATAAGTGTAATAAAAATATTAAGAAATGCACCAAGTTGCTTCTGAAAGATATCAAAATTCCTCAAAGGGGAGAGATCTTTTTGACCATTTTGACTTGTTTGTAAATGGAAAGTAAGCTACATTATTTTAAAAGTAATATAAGACAATTTCAAACTTTTCTACAAAATAATAATAGAATTAAACATGGTCCTGATAATGAACATTGACTGGGGCACATGTCTGGAAAATAATTAATTTTGTCTAGAGTTCGTGTATAACCACACCGATAAAGCACTAAACCTGATCAATTAAAAGACTTGCTGAACTGAATAGGAAGGCAGCAAGATTAGGTAGAACAATAATATGAAAACTTTAAAAATTAGAAGAACCGTGGAAAACTAAGATTGTGTACCAGTTTAGATAAATATGAGATAAGCACACTCTTGTAATGGTTCACTGTGTCTGACCCTTTGCAATGATTTTCTAGCATTTACAAAGTGGGAAATACTGTTATTATTTGTGTCAGTGTGATTAGCAGGTCTGAAAACAGAACCATTTCTCTCTCAATTACTCTTTTCCCAAGGTATAAGTAACTTCCCACATGTTCAGTAAGACAGCTGACAGGAACAAAACAGTGAAAAACACATCATATGAGTTAGCATCCTTTCCCTGTCAGTCGCTTCCATTGGTTGTGTAACTTAAACAGTAAGTTTCACACACTTAGCTATGTAATTATTTTATGACATCCATATTCTGGTTAAAGCCTGCTATTATTACTGGGTATCATGTAAATCAAACAGTAGCTTACAATCTAATTATTATAAACCCATGAGTTCTGTCAATAGAATTTGACCCAAGGAGATCCTCTTGTTCACATCATTTTGCAATAAAACAGAAGTCATTTAGAAACACATAAATACAAAAATTGTGAAGGATTGCTATGTGTACAATGTTCTGAAAATAGGAATCTAAATAGCATAACAATCTCTCTTTCACATATTGAGTTAGAACAACTCTGATGCCCTCATGTGGGAAAAGATATTTTAACACATGCCAAGTTGGCTGAAAATTCATGTTAGGAAGCAAATGTAACCTTGCCAAAAATTTAGGGACAAAATTTTTGATATAAAGAACAAAATAAATTTTATTTTCATTTTAGTATGAGCAGAAAGATGCACCAAATGCATAAAAACAAATAAACAAAGAAAAAAAAGAAAAAAAAACTATACATGAGAATTATTTGAGGAAAAAAGTCAGGTAACAAACATAAAATGTGCATAATTCCAAAGAAAGGCTTTGCTTCCTATAACTAAGTGTTCAGAATTTTATTTTATTTATCTATTTGTCTAAAAACTGCCTTCAACAGAAAAACCATCATTAATTTCTCACTTTTTATTTCAACCCTCAGCTGTTATAAATATGGTCTGTTCTAGTGGGAAGCCTAATTACTGTGATTAGGGGTTAGGTGATTAACTGAGGAGTGAAAAATAAAATTAGTTGACTTTTTTTTAATTCATTCGCATCTATACCCTGGGGTAGAATACATTTTTTAAAGACTTGATATTTTACTGATTGACTGCCTATTGCTTAATCTTCATGTCCCACTGAACATGAATAAAAAAGGTCTGCTAAAATAGATTTTTTTCTGGACTTGGAAATGTATCAGTACTATATATTTGTACTGCAGTTGTACCAAGTTATTTCAGGAATTAGTTACACTTACGGACAACTATAAACAACCAGCAGAAAGAATTCTTCATATGCCAAAGATATCAGAATGTGTGTATTTTTATGACCTGACTACAGCAGAGTCTCTGGGAAAAGTAAGATATAAGGGTTACATCATTTAAACCAATGGTCATTTCATGGATTTTCTCCCCCCAGATTGTCTAGATGAATGTGATTATATTCCCTTTGGAACCCCTTTATTTATATTTTTTTTCCATGATAAAATACATATGACAAAAAATTACTCAAAGAACACAGGGTTTTTTTATACAGTTAGATGATCTGTGAACAGTTTATTTTCCGAGCATATTCATTATTTCACCATAAATACTTTATGTGAACATATCTGCCCAAGGGTCTCCTGCTACCTATTCACTTTGGTTACTGTATTTCCTTGATTATTTTTAATTCATCATTTGTGCTGTATGCCTAAATGACATGAGTTACATGGCATTGTTTCTGCTTCTCAGTTATTTGACTGAAGAAAACCTTCATGAAGTAGTAAGCAAGTTATTTAACCAGGATTATCATATTAATAAACAAATATAATTGAATGTATATGAATATTCTTCTGAAGAGCAGTAATTTCTCATTATTAATATAAATAGATGTCTCTTCTAAGAATGTGTTTGCAACAAAAAAAAGGGAAAATAGAAACATAAATTCTGGTCAGATCAAAAGAAATTGGAATTTTAGGTCATGAACGTACTTTTTCTCCCCATTGCTTACTCAGCCTTGGTCTCTTCACTTAAAAAAAAAAAACATTAAGGAATTAATATACATTACATACTAATCAACCACTATTTCTACATCAGAAAATAGACAAATACAGCACAAGGGAAAAAAATCATAGTGATGCTGCAACCAGCATGAATAAGATCATCAAATTTATATAAAACTTTGGACTGATCAAGCAACTTTCCCTTTTGGATAAGGAGAGCAAATTACCATTGGAAGATACATCACTTCCAAGGATTGTGGTAGACCCCATCTCCTAGTGCAAGATACAGACAAAGAAATTGAATTCTGCTCCAATAACCAGAAGACTCAGATTTGGCCTGAAAGGCTGCCTTTAAAATATCACACCTTTTGCCTCCACATACAGAGAACCCTGTCTGTGAGCATTGTATGGCAGGGCTCTATTTCTTCAGGGAATCTTTGTCAGATAGTGAGGCAAAGTATGGATGGATAGCAAGAAAAAAAAAACAAAAACAAACAAAAACCAACCAACAAAACAAAAACTGCAAAGCAACAAGCATCCTGGGGCAATACCTTAAGATTATCCCTTTAGGAGTTTGGAGTTGGCACTGCCATAAATTAATTCCTTTACAGCATTTTCACTGAATCAGGTAGATTTCCTTGTAAGGCTAAGGATGACACATGCAGAGTTAGAAACAGCCTTGGAATAAAATTAATGAACTTTTCGAGTTTTCATGTTTATACTGAAACTCAGATGTTTCAAATACTCAAGGTCACTTTTCTTTAGCATATTTATTTTTCCAGGATAACTATCTGGCCTTGACTCCAGCCCTCTAAAAAACTTAGGAAAAAGGCTGCTCCTTTTTTTGTGTCATAGGGAGGGCCTTACCCACTTAGGAAAACCCTAAGATCACATCATATCCAAACTGTAACATTTTCACATTACTTTCTGCCAAACTGGAACTTACACCTTCTTGCTGACAAGCAACCTGATACATTTTGAGCTCCCCATATGTTAAAACTCGTGCTTTTCCTAATGATCAATATAATTTTTTTACATCCCTGAAACTTTTTATATTTGACTTTTTGTTGCAAAGATAGGGGAATGGTTTCAAACTGAGAGAGTAGGTTTAGGTTAGACATTAAGAAAAGAAACCTTACTGTGATGGTAGTGAGGCACTGGAGCAGCTTTCCCAGAGAAGTTGCAGATGCCCCATTCCTGAAAGTGGTCAAGGCAAGTGGATAGAGCTCTGAGCAACTGGGTGTAGTGAGAGGTGTTCCTGCCCATGGCAGAAGATTTCAAACTAGATAATCTCTAGATCTCTTCCTACCTAAAACATTCTATGTTTCTATGATCCTGTGATTCTGCTTTGAAATACCAGCTGTTAGGTAGAAGCATGTAGTTCTTCTACGTAAGTAAATGACTTTCAAATATTCAATTTATTCAATAAATAATTAAATTATTTTCAAAATCAAATTAATCTTGCTGAACTCTCTAAGTCATTGTTCTGCATATCTACATCTAAAGGGAGTTTTGAATATGGTTCACTTTAAAAAATAAAGGAGTAAAGAAAACCAAATATTATTTTTTCTTATGGTAAACATCACCTGCTTGTTCACATGTTTTCTTAAATGTCTCACTGAGGAATCTCACTATCCGCTGAGTCTTTCTCAGAAGCTTGTTTGCAATTACTACCAAAAAAAAAAACCAGAAATAAGTAAAAAATCTCTCTCGAAAATGATGCAGAAGTCATCCTGTGAGAGTCAAACATCTGATACTTTCCATTGATGGTAAATCAACTTTGGGAAAGGATCTTAAGGTTGCTTAGAAGTTGCTTTTAAAGAACTTACTTTTTTTTCACTAAGAATCTTTTTAAATCTGCCACAATTGTGGAAAAATTCTAGTATTCAATAAATACTCAGTTTAATTTAGCTCACATTTCATTAAAACTGAAGTTTAGTATGACTAAGCAT